CAGTGCTTTGTGCAGCCTAATGCTGTCTCCTCCAAGCTAGACTTTTTTTTAAAGCAAATTTCTTAATTTATCTTAAAAAAGGAATATAATTTTTGTATTTTTTTCCCATGATGTGATTGTTTTAAAGTAAAAATTATGTTTTCAGTTAATAAGAGTTTTTACCTATCTCCCTTGTGGTTAAACTATAGTGAATTGAAAAGATCACTGTTGAAAAATTGAGCTGAATTGAAGAAGCTTAGCACAGCATGCCAGGTTCAGCATCTATGTAATTTCTCTTCTTGGTGTTTGGGTTTATTCCAGATGTTTTTATTTTTGCCAGGTCTCAACCCTCTCTAAGGAAAGCTGCTCTACCCACAGCCCAATGACTTTAAGGTTTTGTGCCAAGTATATTCTCCACCCACCTCTATGCAAAGCTAACTGAGCAAGGGATCCAGCCAATTCAGAGCCAGCACAGAGAATGTTATCAGGCAGAGAGAAGGGCTGGGCTCTCTCTTAGAATTCAGGAGTAGGATGCCAATGAATGGTAAGTTACCACGTAGAAAGCCGTGGGGGAGTTACACGGGAGAACAAAATTGAGCAAGTAGCAGAGTCCACAGTTTTAGCTAATAAGTATGTGTTTTGCTACTTTATCTCAAAGAGTTATGGAAGAGGTGATGACTTAGTGCTTCTTTCTTTTCTTGCAAGCGGAGTAAAAGCCAAATTCCTTGGACTTTTGAAAAAGAACACTTACATTATCATTCTGTTCCTAGTGCAGATTTAGTGATTCACAGCCAAGAGCAAATAGGCTAGTGATTTAAAATATTTAGTCTTTAAATTTGACAAATGTGCCAATTACCTTGATCTGTGGTTCCTGATTCAAGAATTAAAAGCCACAATCAATTTAAAAGGCTGCCACAATCCTTTCCGAGTGAATGAAAACAGAATGCCAAGCAGCTGTGCTCTGCTGCGTGGCCTCCAGTCCCCGTTGTCTGTACACAGGATGTGTGCTGCTGGTATGACAGGGACTGCGTTCTTTCCCCATGTCAGTCCGATTGCTCTGGCCCAAATGAAACACCGTGTGCCTCAGAATCTCCCAATCTTGTTGAAAATGTACACCTTAGTTTCTTTTTGTTTTTCCCTGAAAAATTGCAATGTTTGGGAAGTATTTCAAGCAAATGGGCCCATGCTCATTATTATTCAAAAATGTAGGCCAAACACATGGCTCCGTTGGCCAAATTTTAGGTGTTTGAATGCCATCTTTTCTTTTGGGGACAGGCTTTTTTTCAGTGTAACTTTATTGAAAAAGAAGAGCTTAAATTTCATTCTGAAATTGTTAATTAATTTATACTTCCATTATGAAGCCTTTAGGGGGTACTGCTCAGTGAAATTAATGCCACAGGTATTAGAAAGAAATAGCAAGAGCTGACCAGTGGAAGGATCCAGGGAAACAGGCATTCCTACTTTAAAAGTTCCTTTAAAAGTTTTTCTCTCGTACTGCTTAGGTGCATCAGCTTTCTTCCGATCTAGAATAGGCAAGAGTAGAATAAATTTTCATATTGAGCTTGTGTAACAGGAAATGGCTCATGGGATTATACACAATATTTGACATGGAGGGAAGTCTAGATTTTTATTTTTAAATGTTATATTTATTTTAAACATAGCTATTTTAAACTTGGCTCCACATTGTTGAATTATACTTCCCTCATTAGAAATTTATGTGACATGGTGACACAGTGCATGACCAAATTGTGAGAGCTTTATCCTTCTCAAGGAATATGCTGGTGGCACAAATATAAATTTGATTTTCCTGTGAGTCATCAAGACCTATTTTATTATGCAGGTAGGTTTGCTATGGATGTTGACAGAACAACAGCATATTTGGCAGAGACCTCTAATTTTGCATTTCTTTAAGGTCAGTTGTATTTAGTGTCAGGTTCTCTCTAGGCAAGACTATTAAATGGGGAAGCTGGTATTTTTATCCTCCACTTTTTTTGACCAACTGTCATTGGTGGCTATATTTTTCTTCCTTCTAGTGAATTCAGAAACTCATGTCTTCTCTTTCTCAAGACTCTATCAATATATGTTTTCCATAAATGTTGAATAACCTAATTATATTAACTCTAGATGTTGACTATCCATAAGGTATAGGCATTACTGTTTTTTGGACTATTATTTTTAATGACAAGAAAACTTTTTTCTCTTCCTGTAATTTATTTTTTATTTTATTTCTTTTTATTTTAGAATATATAAAAATATAGCCAAACAAAATTTTTTTAAAAATCTCATAATCTCAGTTCTCCAAGCCTATCTCTGCTAACTTTGATATGTATTCTTAATACAAAAAAATGGAATCATCCTATGTGCAACTTTTAAATTGTGCCGTTTTCTCTTAATTTTTGATGACTTTCTAATATCTTTAAACATGCTGATAAGCCATGTTTACTATTTCCATGGTTTTGTGTTACACGATTGTATCCTAAGTTATTTAAACAATCCACTATTATCTGACATTAAGATTGCATCTATTATTTTGCTATTACAAGTTGTCAAAATTAACATTCTTTAGCTTATTTCTTCAAATATAATCATGATCATAGGGGAAACACCTTGGGTATAGTACCTCGTTGCAAATGAACCAAGGACAGAGAAATTTCTTGCCCTTTGCAGTCCTATCTATGCAGCCATTTTCTCTGCTTGCTGTTCAGGATAGCCTTGTTTGCCAGCCCTTGAAAATGTACTAAAATTGAGCTAATTTGGCACTCACTGAGGGAGAAAAGTAATAGCAAATAGTTGAAAGTTTGGAAGTGCTTGATGTTAGATTGAAAAAAAAAAGTTGTCTAGCCTATATTCAACACAAATAATTATGATGTTTGGAAATACTGCAATGAAACTGAGTTTACAGCATTTGGAATTAGATAATAGAGCTTTTCCCATGAAAGTTACTCATTGCTGAAATGTTCATGATTCTAGAGTGGTTTCTCTGAAACTGTAATTCTTGGTCAGTGTCAAAGTGACATGGGAGGTAGATGAGAAACTTTGCTTGAGCCGAGTGAAGGGGAACGGGCAAAGAGAAATGGTCAGTGAATGGAAAGGAGATGGGTGTTAACAGAGGCAAAACTCACGGGATTTGAAATGTGACTGGTTAGTAGGAGGGAGGGAGATAGTGGGTGGATGATATGAACCTAGAGGCAGGAGGATGGTTCTGCCATTTGTAGAGAAGGAACAAGTTGTGTGGATATGGGGCAAATGTCCTTGCCGGCATTTAACCTGAGCTTCTGCCAATTTAACCATGCGAAAATATCCCAGCAGGGAGTTGGAAAAGCAAAATTGGAGCTAGAACAATAACTGTATACAATTAATAGTTTTAACCAATAGGAGGAATAAGTGTGCCTCTAGACCAGCAGTTCTCAACCTGTGGGTCCGCGACCCCTTTGGGGGTCGAACAACCCTTTCACAGGGGTCGCCTAAGACCATCGGAAAACACATATATAATTACATATTGTTTTTGTGATTAATCACCATGCTTTAATTATGTCCAATTTGTAACAATGAAAATACATCCTGCATATCAGATATTGACATTACGATTCATAACAGTAACAAAATTACAGTTATGAAATAGCAACGAAAATAATTTTATGGTTGGGGGTCACCACAACATGAGGAACTGTATTAAAGGGTCTCAGCATTAGGAAGGTTGAGAACCACTGCTCTAGAGAAAGACTGCCACATTTGAAGGTTGAAGTGAACAATATGATGGCAGAGTTAGCAGGGAGGACCTTGGGAGAGTGCAGGGTCAGGAGGAACCCAAGAAGGATGCAGCTTTGGTGACAGATGAGGATTGAAATCTGCTGACCCATGACCTGGTGTCACTGCTGAACTTCAACTAAGGTGTTCAAATGCATGTGTATGTCGAACGTAGAGAATAACAAACAGACAGACATGCAAACAAACAAAAAACAATGCCAACGAGAAGAATAAAATGTAGCACGTGTTAAGAGAAAATTGCATTAGGTCATTTAATCCTCTCAGCAATATCTGTGATGTAGAAGTTTGTTTGTTTGTTATCCCCTTCCCACACTTTATAGAAGGAAACCAAACTCTACAGAGATGAAATATTTTTCTCAAGATCACACAATGTGTCACATGTTGGACACAAACTCATGACTGTGCTCTTAATTTTTCTGTTTCAATGAGCTATGCAGCCTTCAAGGGATTATATTGTAAATGGTAGGTGAGAAAGTGGGCAGCAGATTGGACCCCGTAAGAAGCTTAGCTCACTATTGAAGAAAACCATGGGAGTCGTGGAGGAAGAAGAGAGGTGGTGAGATGGAAGAGTTAGGCATTGAGAGAGGAGCCCTTCCCAGTGAAGTCCAAGGCATGGTGATGTCTGTCAGTAGGTGGCAGAAGTACAGTAGAAATAAAAGCCACTTTTGCTGAAAAGGTCAGGTTCTACCTTGAGATCAGAGTTCTGGAAAGGTTACCAGTATCCATGTTCCCCTCTAGGGGAAATGGAAGAGACCGAGTTGAAGAGTAAGGTGCTAAAATAATCAAGGAAGATGGACAATTGTCCCGTAGCCAGAAGATGACAGATCTGTATCATCTATCATGGGCTGAGGCTAGGTGGTCCTTGTGGTGAAAGTGGATTTTGAGAGAACAGAGGTTATTAGGAAATGGCAGAGAACAAAGGTTGGAAATCAAAATTGAGGGCCGCCTTGATGTGCTTCTAGCTTGCAGTAGGTGTGTGCTCATCGAGGAGGGTGATGGGAAAGGGGAAGAACCACTGTCTCCCATCACTCTACTGGAAAGATGTTTAATTGAAAGGGACGTTGAGGAAAGGGGAAGATTTCAGTTATTGGGGAGGAAGTAAAAGGGAAGATCAAGGCACAAGCTAAATATATATTTTCCCTCCAGAGAAGAGTGTTTCCACAGGGCCCAGGTGAAGGTGCCAGGCTGAGCCCTGGGTGGCATGGGTATGTTTCAAGTATTTTAGTAGGAGGTTGTGAGTAGATTAGAAATACCTGCTAGTGGTGGAGATAGGGTAAGATGGGGAGGAGTCCTGTACTGGCTGAGTTTTAGACCATATCGCTTTCTGAAATTTCTGAGTTGAACTTTTGGTCTTTGCAAACTGCTCTTCAACAGGACTCAGGACCAAGAGCTGCTCCAAGAGGAAGTCAGGGACAGCAAGGAAAGGAGATGCGTGTTCCACTTGAAAGGAAATCCTAATGTTGTCCTGGCTTGTCTGGATAGTTGTAGACTTTCCTTGAAGGTCCACAGAATAAAATGACAAAATTTGTTTCAAAAGAATTAGACATTTGATGTCTTAAATGTGCATAGACATAGCCCAACATTGAACCAGGCATCTCAACCTTGGCTGGGCTGTAATCCTCTGCGGACTCTCAGGAAATACCTGCAGCCCATCAGAGACCAAGGGAGAGCTAATGCTTGTGGCTGGGGCTCTGGTATCAGTGTTTAACGATCCTCCTCAGGCACTTCTGATGTACTGTGAAGGCTGGAAGCATCTGCCTTATATAAACAGCAGACCACCAGGAGCATAGCTGAATAAACCTTTTGTTGGTATGAACCCACTGGTGTGCTCACACTTCTGCTGGGTCAGGGGTCTGGTGTCATTAATAAGTCTTGGCATCACTTGTTGCTGACCCATTATTAAGCTATGGAATGTGGACACACATGCAAGATTAGTATTGATAATATTTCTTAGACAATTAATATTACTCTATGCTTTATCTCCCACAAAGATAAATGTTAGGTGAAAGGAAGCAAATTGGGAAACACCGTATTTACTTGTGCTGAGAGTAAAATAACAGGCTTGGCATGTAGAGACACTTTCTTACCCTTTTAAATATTCTGTAGTGCTCAGCTAAACATCACCATCCACCCTCGATCACAACTCCAGGCCTTATCTTTAATGCATTATTCTAAATTATGTAAATTAAGATCTTATGTAATTTACCTTTTGCATACAACTAATAACGTGATATCAGTTAGTTGTAGTTTCAATGAAATAATCTAATCTAATAAAAGACAAACATGCAAATTGACCATGCCTCCGCTACTCCTTAAGCCAGGCCCACCAGCAAATCAGAGTGACTATATGCAAATTAACCAAGATGGTGGCCAGCAGCTATGGAGCTGGAGCGAGTAAGAGGCTTGGTTGCTCCAGTGATGGAGGAAGTCAAGCTTCCCACCTGCTGCGGCCGGCTCTGAGCTCCATTCAAGGCAACAAAGTTTCAATTATAGAAGATAAATAAACTCCAGATACCTGCTTTCAGCCGGCCATGGCCACGGAGCTGGAGCGAGCAGGAGGCTTGGTTGCTCCAGTGATGGGGGAAGCCAAGCTTCCAGCCTGCCATGGCTGGCTCTGAGTTCCACTGAAGGCAACAAAGTTTCAATTATAGAAGGTAAATAAATCCCAGCATAAAAATAAAAAAGATAAAAAGGAGAGGCTGGAAGCTTCCGTCGCCGGGAGGCTTGGCCAGCCTGAAAATGGCCCTCAGCCCCTCATCCAGTCTGGCAGGCAACCCAGTGGGGACCCCCACTCTGAAGGGGGTGTGACCAGCCTGCAAACACCCATCAGCCCCTCATCCAGGCTGGCCAGGCACCCCAGCAGGACCCCCACCCTGATCCGGGACATCCTTCAGGGCAAACCAGCCGGCCCCCACCCGTGCACCAGGCCTCTATCTTATATAATAAAAGGGTAATATACAAACTGACCCTTACAGCAGAACGACTGGGAATGACTGGTCACTATGACACACACTGACCACCAGGGGGCAGATGCTCAATGCAGGAGCCCAGTGAGCTCCCCCAGGGGGAGCTCTGCTCAGCCACAAGCCAGGCTGATGGCTGCCAGTACAGCAGTGGTGGTGGGAGCCTCTCTCGCCTGCTCAGCAGCACTAAGGATGTCAGACTGCAGCTTAGGCCTGCTCCCCACTGGCAAGTGGACATCCCCCGAGGGCTCCTGGGCTGCCAGAGGGATGTCTGATTGCCAACTTAGGCCCAATCCCCCGGGGAGCAGGCCTAAGAGAGCAGGTGGTAATCCCCTGAGGGGTCCCAGACTTCGATAGGGCACAGGTTGGGCTGAGGGACCCCCATCCTCCCCCCCGAGTGCACAAATTTTTGTGCACCAGGCCTCTAGTCATTAAATAATTTTGAAAGGTCCTTGTGAGATAATGTTGAAAGAAAATGAAAGAGCTTAGTTCCTTTATTCTAGTTATTTAAAATATATATTACATGAAATTTTATTATGGTAAAGTTCAACATTGCATGTATTCTGACTGAAATGTTGATGGTAGCTTAAGAATTGTCTCAGAATGAAATAAACAAATTGAAGTTTGACTATTGGTTTTTGGAGGGTTTGACTAAGTTGTGTAGTAGGCAGAGCTCTTATTTCAGAAACAGAGAGCATTCATTCATTTACTTCCTCAAGTTCTTTCTCAGTAAACATCTGAATCTCAGTGTTTACTTTAAATTCACTTTCTCCCAGGTAAAGAATTAAGCCTTGTACATCCATAAGTACATACATATTCATATATAACTATATGTATCTCTCTCTATATTTACATTACAAGAGTAATACGAATTCTCAGCTTAAGCATAAATAAGCAAAGGGAAGAAAATGAAAGCACTTGCCATATATATGTATGTAATCTTATCATCTGGCATATAGTCCATATGCCTTGGAGTATAATCTCCTTGCTTTACATCCGCACATATACACATACAACGCAAAGCACACAGGTTAATTCTGTATATAGTGTTTGATAACCTCTTTTCTTCTCACTTAACAACATATATGAACATTATTGTTCTCATTCAGTATTCTTCTACAATGTGAATTTGTTGGAATAGTGTTGATAGTATAATTTATTTGACAATCTGCTGCTTGACATGTAGATAATTTATAATTTTGTTTGCTTTTGATTTTTGGTAATATAAACAGTGATGGGCTGACTATTTTTATAGTTCAACTCAAAATTTTTAATGCTAAAATGTAAGAGGGTGGATGAAGAGGCGTGTTCTGCCACATTGGTTATCATAGGTAATTAGGTAATGTAGTGCATTTTTAATATTCTGGCAAGTTGCATGGACCTCATTGTATTAGTCCCCTAAACTCCTTGACGTTTTGAGAATTCTGAAAGGCCACTGAAGACAGTAAGCTCTTCTCCTGGTGTTCTTCACCTAACACTAACTGTTTCTGTATGCTGATCTTGCACATAAACTCCTATGGATCTGAAACTGTTGTGTTTACCAACATATGCTGGACTTCCGAGTTTCTGTCCTCATGCTGCTGACTACTGCTGCAAGCTTTTGTTCCACCATGTTTCCAGCTCAGACTTTTGAAATCCAGCTCTTTGGCAAAGCCAGCTCAAAGGTCACTTTTCCAAGAAAGCCTCCCTTGTCTGTCAGAAGGAATTTATCTGCATCTCCTTTGTGCTCCCTGCTCTGCACCTCTTTTCCCCACAACCACACCCAGGCTTCAACTTGGACTTGGTGCTGTCTAGTATTAGTGTTGCTATGTAGCATTAACATACCTAGTTTGAAGTTATTTAATAGTTAATATGTAGTATTAACATCTGAAGCGCTATATCCTACAGTGAGCATGTTTTAGTCATCTTTTGTTTATGATACATAATATAGTGCCTTTCAGGTGTTTAAAATCAATGCACAATCTTTGTAATAACTTGCTTAGTATTTTAAATTTAAGCCACTTCACATATATTTTTTTTCTTTTCATTTTCAGTGCAACACAAAAGCAGGGAATGGATAATAATAACAGAAACAGAAAATTCTAATTTGCCGATTATCTTAATCTTGTTTGAAAAAGTACAAAATCCACAACATACAAAACACCCCTAAACTCAACTGGAAATAGTCTCTTCATTTACCCCCCTCATTACTTGTTCCTGATCACTTCTAATGTCTCTCTGAGGCCTTAATTATTCCTGATAGTGTCACCCATATTGTAGATAATTTGGGGTGTATATAACTTATAACAGAAATGAAATCTGGTTTCTGATCTTAGGAGGTATGCAAATGAAGAACAATTTGATTGTGAGAAACATTTTAATCTCTCTGTGTCTCTGAGAACAAGAATATATCTCTATGGTCTAATCTTATGTAATAAAAGCCTAATATGCTAAGTGTCCAGTCGTCTGGTCATCCGGTCATCCATTCAACCAATCAAAGCCTAATATGCTAATGATATGCTAAGGACACTCAACCACTTGCTATGACATGCACTGACCACCAGGGGGCAGATGCTCCAACCGATAGGTTAACTTGCTGTTGGGGTGCGGCTGATCATGACTGAGCGAGATGGGCCAGACACACCCTGGAGCCTTCCCGAGGTCCCTCCCTGGCTGGTCAACCTCCCACGTCCCTCCCCAGCCCTGATTGTGCACCAGTGGTGTACCTCGGCCTGGCCTGCTCCCTCTCGCAATCCAGGACCCCTCAGGGGATGTCAGAGAGTCGGTTTCAGCCCGATCTCGGAGGCCAGGCTGGGGCACCGGGCCTCTAGTCTAACTATAAAAGCCTATAATTTTTAAAGCATGGTTGTTGACACATATATATTATTTAATAAGCACTTACTATGGATTAGGCATATGCACAGATTTTGGTTTTGGTTGCTGGTCACAGAAATTCAACTCAATTTGCTGCTGATAAAAAGGACATGATTGGCTGGTGTACCTGGAAGACACAGGCTATGGACTTTAGGCGCTGCTGAATTTAGGAATTCAAATGCTGTGTTCAGTGTTCTGCCTCTTTGCATCTCATTGCTGTTCTGCCTTTCTCTGTCTTCTGGCTTCTCTGTGTTGGACTCACTCTTAGGTGGGATCGTAGGATACCGTGGAAAAGATGGATGGTGACAGTCTTAAGCTAGCAAATTAGTAGTGAGGACTCTTAACTTGCCAAAATTAGGTGTAAGGCATAACCCCTTGCCCAATCACTAGATCCTGGAGAAGAATTATATAATCCTTGGCTGTGCTGAATGTCAAACTGGGTGTTTGTGGGACAACTGTGATAAATAGCCACACTGGGACCAATGAAGTGGAACAGGAAGTAAAGGAACAATGGGGTCAGGAAAGTATATTAAGCTCCTTTCAAAATCATGACACTCTTGGGGCAGAAGAAAAA